ATATAAGTCTCATTTTCTTAACATTTCAAAAATGTTTGTGTTCCAAGCTCAGACTGGAAAGAAAAGTGTTTGTTTTGCTTTTAGATTTTCAGTAAATAAGATGATAAAATTATGTCAAGTTCCCTTATACTAAAATAAAAATTGCCAAGTCTGCGCAGCTGACGAATGAACTTCACAACAAGAGTGCCATCTTCTGCTCAGTCTGTATTATTAAAAAATTTCATGTGTTCAACAAGCATCATCCTCACCTGCACCCAGGGTTTGTTCTCATTCTAAAGACATTCAGAAGAAACTAGAAACATTTTCTCATTTGTTTTATATCTTTAAACATTGATTTAAATAATAATATAAGTTACCTTGATGCCATAGCTCTCCCTGTTGTCGAAGCCCACCCACTCATTGCCTTTGACTGCATAAGGCACCTTCTGTTCAGAAATCCACTGTGTAGTGGCTCCGTTGAGGAAAGTGCAAACCTGAATTTAAAAGAGGAGATTGACCTTAAAAATGCTTTTCATGTTTTTTAGTCTTGTTGTTTATGATTTTTGTCTGTCTGTCTCCAGATTTTGTTTTAGTTTGTCAGAAAATGGTTTACTTTCACGTAATCTGACCTCATAGTAAGACAGAGTTCCAGCCTCTCTGGTGTAGGGCCCAGCAGAGCCTGCCCCATTCGTTGCTGCTCCAACTCCATGATCTGCTGATGCTGTTTTATACGTGCGTGCAAATGCTGGAAAACCAACCAGGAGTTTTTGAGCAGGAGCTCCATTAGTTCTCCAATATCTCATGGCAAAGTGCTRGAACACAGAAGTATAAAGTTTAAAACCAAACAAATAAACAAAAGTAATTTTTTTTACATGACCTCAAATCCCGTATGAATTTGYGAGTGGTTTAACTTACAATATTGTAGTTGACAAATTGCTTTGGGAGAGCAGAACTGGTGTACAGAGGGCTGTGGTGGGCAAGGATTTGATTCATGGATCCAAACAAGCGATAGGTCATGACATTTAGAAAATCCAGAACCCTGTTGGATGATACAATATATATATATAAGAAATAAAAAGTGTATGGACAATATTGGCAAAATAATTCATCACAAATAATTGAGGCATTTAGACAAGAACGATTAAGAGATGACAATTGAACAATAAGTGTTTTTGAATGTTTGTTTTTCAGTTACCCTGTTCTAAAATTATACATACAAATCATCAGTCAAACTAATGCCTTCATCATCAGGTGAAATCAGCTGTGAATTCAAACCCACATTTTCCACAATGTGACATGCCAGCATCCTTAATAGTACAATATGCCACAAGCTCACATGTGCGCTTGATATGATAGTGAGARTGTGTCATGCACAAAAACAGGTCATCACATGGCRCTAATTTCAGTAAYTGCAAAGTAGCAAATATCAATTGTTGACAGTTTTTCTWATGAYTRATTGCTCACGATACAATTTTACTCAACCCAACTGACAGGACCAACAGTGTGCACTTACTACTAATGGTATCATCTATTTCATCTGAATTTTTAACTTTTCTAACTTTCAAGCTTTGTAAAACTCTGTGGTTTTATATAAAAACAAGAAAGACACAAGAACWACTGTACTTTATTAACATCAACTTACCTGGATATTTCAGCAACCTCATAACTGTTGTCAATGATTTCCTGTCCAGCTGCCACTGCAGCTGAGAGCAGCAGCCGTGGTTTGTTGGTCTGTTTGGCCTCCTGTTCAAAACCTGCACGTAATTCCTAAATATAGGAACATAACTGTCAGTACTTGATRATAAAAAAGCACATTGCTGTTGTTTGTTGCACAGGGATATTGAAGGGTGTTTTTAAACCGACCTGGCAGAGCAGTGTGAACCTCCTCTTGTCCTCTTTTTGGCCATAGTGTCCAGGGTACTCCCAGTCCAGGTCCAGCCCATCAAAGCCATGCWGTCTCAAGAACCTGATGGAAGACTGGACGAACACCTGACGACTGGCCTGAGTTGAAGCCATGTTGGAAAATCTGTAGACATTTAAACAAAACAGTGGCTGCAGAATGTGTTCCTTGATGTTAGAGGTTTAATGAAATATCTTGTCTAACAAACTCATGCTGGCTTTTTGTAGTTTTGTAGACTCACTGTGATGATCCGGAGTAAAACCCACCAACAGACAGCAGAGTCTTCAGCTGAGGGTTTCTGTGATGGATATATAGAAGTTATGACTGACAGCTGAATGAAAAGTTTATTTATTTTTCTGAAATAAAAATCACAGCCCAACTATCTAAATATTTCAATACTTCCAAAAACGTCTTAGTTAAAAAATATCTATTATTATACACCGTTTCTAACAGCTCACCTGTTCTTCAGTCCATTAAAGGATTGATAAAGAACCTCATCGTTCCACTCATATGTTGTCAGCTCACTAGAAGGGCTAATTTGTGCGAAGGCGTAAATCAGGTGAGTGCAGAGGTGAGGATCCACATTGTCTGGGASATATTTACCAACACCTGGTCTGTACTGGGACCAGTTGGTAAAGTAGCACACCAGTTTGGTTGAAGAAGCTTCAAGAAAAAAAAAGCAAATATTATTATTATTTCTATACTCATTGAAGTAATTGTGATTCAGATGTAAATACTGGGAACAGAAAGACAATAACATACCAACATGAAGACACATTAGAAGAGACAATCCTAAAAGAAAAATACAGTATTAATAATCAATAACAAGCCTGTGAAGTAATCAGCATCCAGCACCATGAACCTACCAGCCAAGATCATCAGTCGAGCCATGTTRTCCTACTTGAAACTTTTCCTCAAAGCAATCTGAAAGAAAAAGAGGTTGGATTAAAAATAACTTAATGGTGAAATTAAATCATTTTACAGATGGTTCATAGGTAGCAGTATTGTACATGACACAGCTTTCTAAAAATATAAACTCAAGATGACAACAGTACCTTTTCTTGAGCGACATGCTGTACGATTGGCTGCAACACAGACTTTTATAGGGAATGAAGACAGGAACAAAGGCTGGACTTCATGGTGGTATCCGGGAAGATTAATTGTGGCAATGTCATAAATGATGAGATGATGTTTGCTCATCATTTATGCTTTTATTATATGATAACTTATCAGCGAACAAGGATGTTTAACTTTCATTTATTAGTTAATTTACTGAGGTGTGAAAACCTTACCTGCTTCGGTAAGGCCCTGTCACATTATCACATACAAACTTATGCTGACTTGTGAACATTTTGTTATGAATAAATTRCTCATGTAACTTATATATATGTTCAACTTGTTAACCATACAGTATGYATACCTCCAAAAGAGGCTTCCATAGATTTTAAGAATTCTATTATTAACCTAGATATCACTAGTGTTGGACAAAACTTTCAAAGGTTGGTGCAAGTTGTCTAAAACMTTGTAGTGTGACAGGACCTGCAGACAAGAGGAGTTGATTAAATCATAAGGATGAAGTGACTTTGCTGTCAATGTGCACAATGAAAAACATTCCTATTTATGAAACTGATTCCTCTCTACAGAATCGCCACGTTGATGTRGTGGTGTTCGGTTTGAGCACCCCTGTGATCCTGGGGACTACTGTATGTTGTCTGAGGCATTACGCCTTTGTAGGGCCTCCCATGGTAAACAGACCTTAGGGGAAGTTCCTGTTAGGACTGCAACTAACAATTATTTCAAAATTGATTAATCAGAGAATTGGGAAAAAAGAATGTAGAACTTTTTATTACAAAATAGAACATTTGGACTRACATAATACATCACAAGTTGCTGTTTGACCATTCMTTTACTATGAAACAGRGCCACACATAGAGACAAACTCTATCCAGAAAGGTCCCCAGGCCAGGATTTGATCCAGCRACCTTCTTACTGAGAGGCATCAGCTCTACCAAATGAGCCACCGTGCCATCAGGATATTATACATAAATAAATGTTTGTCAAATAGCTTCAGTAATAAAATAAATGTACACATTAGTGCATACAAATGTGTGCTATATATCCTTGAAAGTCTGTAAATATTTTCTCTCAATAGGTTTTGTCCTTGAGGGAAGAGTGCAACCTGGAATAAAAGTGCAGACAGTGAAGCCTTTATTTACTCCACCAATTACTGTCAACATTTAGATATACAGTACGTACATACAGCACACATAGATTTTGGCCATTCTTTAGCACTCATCGTACATGTATGGGATGATTTTCAGCTCTGATCACAGTTTTAGGTTAATATTGATGAAACTGAATCCAAGTTAATCAGATTTAGCTACATTTAATGATAACATTTTGAAAGTTTTRTTAAAATTTGTCCAATGGTTCACAAGAGCAATATTTTTTCTTAACATATATATTTTTAGTTGATCCAGGCTGTAAAACAGATGGGGATTTGACTTTTTTACTCTCCCTTGAGGATATCCAGTTCCTTCTGGTTGGTGATTGCAAAACAGTGCTTAAGAACAGTGTTGCAATAAGATCAACATTAYCAACAAGTACAATAAAACTGTGTCAAGATGAATGATAACAATGAACCGCTTTCCTTATGCTCTCTGTGTGTGTGAAGAATATACACAAGTGATTGTTAATCCCTGCTGGGGTGGATACATGCTCCCACAACCATAAACAGGAATGGGTAGGTTTAGAAAATGGACAGATGGATGCTTTGATAAGAGTCATATTTTTTTTAATTTTTTTTATGTAAAACCTTTTTGGACAGAGAATAAACTAAGTGTGATGCTTCTGCTTTAGTTGAAACCCTGTCCTGATGAGGAACTCCAACACAACGAACATTTTAAACCTATCAGCTAAATAATTAACTTTTGATTAAACAATTRTAGAAATCACTGGCGTCCTCTCAGATTAAAATGCTGAAGTACAGAGTTGTGCAAAATCAATGTCAATAAACTGAAGTAACGTTGTAAAAATTGCACAAGAAGTTTCCTCACAGTGATGTCTGAAACTGATAGTGTCATACTGAGAACAATTACTTTATTGTTGCTATAAATTATCAAGCTTTTAAATCAAGGCTGTACTTTAGTTATTATGATGAAAAGAATTTTAAATATATTAAAATCGTAAATGGAGGTCATTTAGTCTCAGAGATGTGGCTCAATTATGAGAATATAGATAACTTCCACATTGAGGGGTATTGACCATAATATTTGAATAGAAGTAATAAAAAGTGGTTGGGTAGCTTTTTTATTAATACCAAAATAAAGTGTAAAATAAATAATAAAATGTCATCATTTGTTGTTTTTGTTGTTGTTGTTGTTGTTGTTGATGATGATGATGGTGATGATGATGATGATGGTGATGATGATGATGATGCCTTTATTGTCATTGTAC